CGCACTGGCATCTCGCCTCTACGCCGAGATTGCCCGCCGGCACCAAATGACCCGTGTTCCGTTCCCCGAAATGCCAGACCGTTGCCGTGTTAACTCCAGCAGGCAGAGCTCTCCGCGGTTCTGACGGATGTTCCTGGCACGAGAGCTTGCTAGTGTTTGAGCAAATTACAGGCTAAACGAGGCGCGCTTCGATAGTGGTGGGGGTTTTCCGAGTCGGTTCCGATCCCCACCAGGACAAGCTCCCGTAGCTGGTAGGGGTCAAAATCGACCAGGGATGGGCGGGTTCTCTACCGTAGGAACGACGACGCTAGGCGTACACCAGCCTCCACACGATTGGACGGTTCGAAGCGGTACAAACTCGCTGGTCGAAAGCCAGCCTTGCCGCTCCGAATCCTCGACGCGCGTACGAGCTGCAGAGGGGCAACGCATTAGCCCGCGATGGGCGTTAAACTCACGTTTTTGTCGTGCGATGAAAATGAGTCGTTTAATTAATACGTCTGGACCCCTCTGCCCCTCCAGCCCCTTACGCGCCGATTCCCCTCCACCGGCCGGACAGTTTCTCCCCTCTCGGACAGCTTTTTTCCTCCTCGTTCGGAACCGCTTTCTTTTTCTCGCCAGGCCCCGTAGGAAGACGAAAGTGTCCGCTCTTTTGTACTCTTCTTTCATTCTGCTGATTTCTTAGGATACGACACCTTCAAATTTTATTTATTTTCCGAGATATTTTTGTGGATGTTCGCTTGTTTGTTGCTCCGTTTTGGAGCACGAAGTGACATCATGTACTGAATCGTTCTTTAACGTCGGTGGTCTTTAATAATCGATGGCATTCTGCGAGAGATACTTTTAGTAGGTGTTTCGAGGGTTAACTCCCTTACTGACGCTGTATTTGATCGTGAAAAGAGAGACGTTGTATCACAATGTGTGGCAGCTAGCTTTGTCAGAGATTAAATGACAGATCATTCAGTATGTACAATGTTCAACTCGCTGTCGAAACGTTTTGATTTTCAATGAAAGGCAAATCCAGAAATTCTGCACGGTAACGAACAACGCGATTATTGTAACAGTTGCACCGATTAAATTGTCAGAGCACGATGACACTTCTTGGAGGCGAACCGTTAGAAAGCAAGACCGAAACTGACGTATCTTAATGGCTGTGTTTAGAGCAGCTTCGTTGCTGGTTAATGATCGGACTCGAGACAGCAACGGTGTCGAAACGTGACGAGAAATTACACGTTTGGAACACGAAGTCGAATTGTTTACGTAACTCGGTGCGAGTCGGTACGGTCCAAGAGAAAAAGGAGTACGAAACTATCGGTACTCGAACTTTTCCTACCTGATTATCCTTTTAACGGTGAAATCCGGACTGACTCGAGTCTCATACGACTGGCAATTAGAAAATTGATTTTTCCGAACCGCGTAATTTTATCGTATCGACCTCGATAATTAGCGACGCACGTAAGTACGTACTCTGGAGGCAGCAAAAAATTGAACCGCAGGTTCGCGAGGATCGCTGGAAAAAATGTACGTTCGCATTGATGATTGCTACCTCTCTTCCAACTCGACACGCAGATTACAGTGCAAACGTGCCTTCGATTAGCTTTATTTTTCGCGTGTATCCACACTGATTTTAGCGGCGTTTTAGCTACTTTGTAATTCGTGTTTGCTGGATGAATTTCGTTTGCGCGTTTTTTGCCGATCCCTCGGTAACTCGCGCTTGTAAAATGAAGTTCTTTGGCAATTTCGGTTGGTTTTGTCTATTTTATTTCTCCGCCAGAGGATAACGAAGGTAATGAAAAATTCATGCGAACACGAGTCTGAAAGATTAACCGAAGATTGTGTTTTAACTCGCTGTAACAGGAATATTCGAGTTAATGAAAAATTCTCGGAAAGTAAGTATCGATTTCTCGGAAAATCGCGGTAATTCTCGGATATTAATTGGGCGAAGAATTCACGCTTTCCACCGGTTTTTATTATATTAGAGCTGGTCATAGTTAATCAGAGATCGCACGAAGATCGATCGAAAATTGAATCGAATTTCGTTTCCACTATATCGTGACCGCGGGAATATAAAACGTCCTCTGATACGAATGAATTACACCGAGAAAGAAGGATACTATCTTAATTATAGATCAGAGAGCATCAATGTACCAGGTTTAATATCTGCTCCAGCCATCTCGAAACAAGATTTTGATTAAGCCGTTGAATAACTTTCCGTGACACGTTAAACGAGACAAATACACGACAAAAAAATTGTAACCTACTCTCTTTCGAACCTTTCGAACACAAGAATATTAATTGTTAGCGAAAAGAGAAGAAAGTTTATTTAATAGGAAGTAATTCGTAGACGAGGGTAGTTACCCCTGTCAGGCCACTAGCTCGGAGTCCGATTTCTCACCCTTAGAACACTGTAATATCGCGACCGGTATCGCGTTTCCAACACGTGTGTAGGTGTACGACACGTGTAAAGGAAGTGGGGATATTCAACATGGCGACTTTGCACACATCGTACACACCGGTGCACCAATGCGCGAGCAGAGCACGCCCGCTCCAACGGTTCTCCGCTCCTTTCCTCTTTTATCAGCTCGCATGTTCACTCCTCCGCTCTTAGCGTTTCCTTATCCAATTCTTACCCGTAAATCACCGATTTATTCAATGCTTAACGGGTCCTTCCAAAACTTACCCTGCCTCGTTCATCGAAATTACAATTATTTTAGGGGGCTCTTGGTTCTGGTTTTGTACATTAACACTAGATTTACGGAACATGTCAAATTGACGGATAATAGGTCTATTTTAGATGACAGAATTTGTTAAGAAATTTTTGTAAAAATATCAACTTTCATCAACTTTCAGCAAAAGAATTAATGTTTTAGGCAGTTCACATATCATCTGCAATTTATTTATTTTTCTACTTTAGGTAAATTTAAATAAAAGTGACCATCAAACGTCAGTAAATCTAGTGTTAACTTCATTTCTTTTGCCAGCTCCATTTACGAAATAGATGGGTTGCCAATAAAATTGCAGAGTATGTAACATATTTCTCTTTAATTACAAGTAGTTTAAATAATATGTTCAACTAATCTATTCTGATTCGTGAGATCCAAGAAAAATGTCGAACCACACTTGACATAATGCAAAGGGATGTAGCAGACAGAGAACATATTAGCGTCCTTATGAAAATTACAAAAGTAACTTCATTTCTTTTGCCAGCTCCATTTACAAAATAGATGGGTTCTCAATAAAAATTGCAGAGTATGTAACATATTTCTCTTTTATTACAAGTGGTATAAATAATATGTTCAACTAATCTATTCCGATTCATTAGATTCAAGAGAAATGTCGAACCACACTTGACATAATGCAAAGGGATGTGACAAAGAACATATTAGCGTCCTTACAAAAATTACAAGAAAAGTAAGAAATTACAAAAATAATTTTATCAGTAGTTCATCACGTAATATTCTCTGATGTGGCAGTCAATCGAGCTACAGAATTTGAAGGAATATTTTAAGGGTATTTTAATATCGGTTTGAAGGACAGACACGAAGGGGCCGGAATAAAGCGC